CGTCGGAAACGAAGTTACGGAAAGTTAATTAACAAACGGAGACGTAACAATATAAAACGTTTAAATGAAAACATGTAATAGCTAATATTCTTAGTACAGACTACTAATTCATAGGTGTGTGTGTGTGTGTAATAAGTTATTAATAAAATATTTTTCACTATAAAAGATACAAGTGTGGTATGTAACTTCTGTGTTACTTTAAAGAAAAAACGAAACAGTATAAGAACATAAACAAAACTGTCCATCTTATATTGATTTTGTATTATATTTTAGTCTGGAAATTCTCTTCCTTTGAATTTATTAATCAACATGTATATAATCTTTATTATGGCTGATTGTTGAAATTCAACACACACACACACACACAAGTTTTATTCTATCATGAAATTAACAGTTACTGCTAGCAAATGTTTTTTGTTTTCCTGTTAAAATCGTATATATCACAGTTTGAGAAACCATAAAATTACTTTAGAAGGATCTTTAATAAATTTTCTGCTTAGTTTGCCAGTTATTTTTTGTTTTCTTGGAGCACTTTATAAGTTTTACCTTTCTGAAAGACTTATAAAGTGCTCAGAAAAAACGCAGAGTAATACGCAAACCAAGAACAAATACATAATCGTGCAATAAGATTGAAACGTGTTGTGTTCCCACAGTAATCTAAACCCAAGACCATATACAATAACCAGGTAATCATAATTGACAGAATTAATTTATATACAGGAAAGGAAATGGCAGAAAGTAAAAATATCACATTGAAGCAAGCATCAGGACGTATAGTTGACACTTGACGCCGAGACAAGAGAAACAAATGAGACAAGAGAAACAAATCGTTAAAGTTTCAAAAAAATATGCAAGATTCCCAAGGCTTTTGTTTGGCTCACCATACCCTCTGCTGGCATGATCAGTCTAAACATAACTCACAAGAGCTATTAATGAATACTTCTAAAAGATATCTAGGTAGTTTAGTACAACAAAACATAACCTTCAGTCAGAGCTGTTTGTATACATTAAATTACTCACGATAAAGTGCCACAACATTCTGAAACAGAATTAAAACCAAACTTCCAGGCTTCCATCATTCATCTTAAAACCATAAAACAACTTCCAGGCTAACATCATTCATCTTAAGACCATATATCCATACATAAAACACTTAATTTACTAATGAAACAAAATAATTGATTTTAATATAAAAACAAGAAATCTGTTGTTTTCAGTTGCACACACACCTGAAGATCTTCTGATCATACTTTATATAAGTTCTAATCCATTTTGCTTAAATGTGATTTTAACAAAAACTAACTGTTAAGCTTGAAATAATTATGTATTATGTATTTTGATGCTCTTATTCACAATGGGTGTATAGAATCATTATGAAAAAATAAAAACTAATCTTTAAATACGTTCACACCGGCGATTTTGTTTGATGTGATATTTTGTTAATTTACAGTAACTTGTGAATTCCTCAACTAGTTCTTTACTTCATTCTTTTATTGATGTAAAGCACAATTAGTGGAATGAATTTACTTTATTCTTTTGATGTAAAGCACAATTAGTGGAATGAATTTACTTTATTCTTTTGATGTAAAGCACAATTAGTGGAATGAATTTTTTACTCTTTTGATGTAAAGCACAATT